ATAATTCGATTGTGGCTAAAAGAAATAATAAAATAGAAAGTTGAACCCAAACCAGAACTATTTTTATTAGGCCTAATAATGGGAAAATATAATAAAAAAGACAAATATATTATGTTACATATCTTAACAACTGCCAGGATCTCTTACACACAATTTTGGAAGCAGGAAAATGTACCATAGAGGGTGTTGTTATTAAAAAAAATCTTAAACTGTGCAGAGATGGACAGGCTAACAATGAAATTAAGAGATAAAGAAGATTTGATATATTATAGTGTCTGGGGCACCTGGTATGAATGGTTTAAAAATAAAAAGAAATCAAAATGGCAATTAGGTAAAGAATAAGAAATTATGTAAATATCTATATTCATATTTATATCAGTAATGAAAGGAATATGCAATGGTAATGGAATAGTAAGGTGTATATATAGAAAGATGATAAGGAAATGTAAAAGATGTCTTGATGTTGATGTAATGATGTATAAAGTTTTATTTTATGTTTCTTAAATTTTGAAAATTGAATAAAGTATTTGAAAATAAATAAATGTATGTTGATTAATATACATTTAAAGTGACAACTAAGTTTTTATTCCATGCTATGCTATGCTATGCTATTCATTGCATTGTTTTCATTGTTAATTTGTGTTCATTTTGGAGTTAGGATTTTAGGGTAAGTATGTACATAAAGATTTTTATTTTCTACTTAATCATATCTGGTTCTTGTAAATTGCCTGGACAATCCCTGTGATTTTCTTGGCACGGTTTTCCAGAGGGAGTGACTGGCCCAAAATCACCCAGCTAGTTTTGTGCCTAAGGTAGGGCTAGAAATCACACTCCTGGTTTTTAATTTAACCTTAACCACTACCCCAAGCTGTGTCTCACACTAAGTGTATAGTACACTAAAGGATTCCATGACAAAAAGTTTAGTAACTCCTGAGAGAAAATTAAATTGAAGGGGAGGTACATATCTCTAATAGTTATATCAGAAATGAAAAGAATCCTCACCTTCCAATCTATGTTCAATCTATGTTAGGAATGGAATCAAACAGTTGCCTTTGTAGAATGTACTGACTCTGCTAATACCCGAAGAGGGTTTTTTTGTTTTGTTTTTTGCCCTTTCTGAGGTCAGAATGTAGTTCTATTTGATTTTGCTGATATAAAGGTATGAGACATTATTTGCAATGCAAACCTTGATTGGAGAAGATTACCTATCTTGCTCATCTAGAAAACATCTCCCTCACTCTAAATCAGTTTCCTATTCATCAAATTCAAGACGTGATTCATGCTGTGTTCATGTTCACCCTAAAAAGGAAAGAGAAGGTATAACAATAAGTAGCAGGAAAAAAAAAAGGAAATCGTGGCACTAAGTTGATTCCAAAAGAGGTGGAAATACAACAGTTTTATTCAGAATTTTTTTTGTCTTTGAAATAGGAAACTGATTTATTCTAAAGAAAATAAAATTAGATTAAGTCCCATGAAAATTACTTTTAAAAGCCTAAACCTAATCTGATCTTTTTTAAAGAATCAGATTACAACATGTTAGGTTAAAATAATTTAGTTTGTAATTTACCCATTAATAGAAATTAAATCAGACCAGAATTTTCTATAATCCTGAAAGATACTCAGTTATACACTTTGATGCTTATCCCCAATCTGGTTTTTTAGTTTCAGCTGTGATGTCATTTTTCATTTTCCTATCCTTAAAACTACACTGCTTGCTTTGATTTATTAGAATTCAGAGTTACTGAGATAAAATACACCCAAGTTCTAATAACAGGAAGTCCTAGTTTATTTACCCACAATTGTAACTGGCAGTTCTCTTTTTGCCAGTGCAAGGCAGTCACTAAGTGGAAAATCATGAGATTGTACTTTCTTTATTCCACTCTCCCACCCATAGGAATGCTTATCTGGCACTAAGGTAGCCATCTCAAAACTGATGGAATTAATCAGTTTAATAATTTCTGCTTTTATTTGCATCACAACTGCTCCCTCAACCTTTGGAATGCTAAATTGGTTACTGGCAGGGGTGGGATTCAAATTTCTTAACAACCAGTTCAGTGGGTGTGGCCTAATTTGTGGGTGTGGCTTGGTGGTCATGTGACTGGCTGGGCATGGCTTGTATGTAAATATTGTAAATATTTATGTAAATATTGATTTTTTTATTAAAAAAGAGCAACTTTTACCCAAAATCAGGCAAAGCAGGCAGGCAGATTGAGCTGCTCACAGAATCACACTCAGAGATATATCTTTCTGCAATTTGCTACCTGAGTCTGCACTGAAAAATAGAAGCTTCAGTCCTAAGGAAGGTTCCGCTCTGCTTTTAGATTAGCTAGAAAGCAAGAAATCCAACATTTTTCTGCTTTCTAGCTAATCTAAATCTCCCAGCACAGCTGATAGTCGGAATAGCTGATGGTGACGGGGAGAGAGGAAAAATAGCAACTTACCAAAAATTAGGCGAAGGCACAACTCAGGCAAGTTGGATGGTGTGCATGCCAGGTAAGGAGTGAGTGGGCAGGGAGGGGAGGGGCCAGCCAGTGGCGCAATTTGCCGGTTCTCCGAACTGTGCAGAATTGTAACAACTGGTTGTATAGAACTGGCCTGACCAGGTAGAATTCCACCCCTGGTTACTGGGATAATTAGCAAGAAGGGAATGAATGTTTGTAGTTACATTCATAGGATGGAATTCCAAGAGTATTAGCAAGAACACAATGGGGAATACATATCAGAAACAACATTCAGGGCTGGCAACAGTGAATGCATGATGCAAACAACCAGTTTATTCCACACTGTGTGCCTTCTTACTCTCTTGTAATCCCTTCTTTTCCAATCTCTCCACTCTGTGAAAGAAAAAAAATGGGTTGGACATAAGAAAGATTGTGTAAGGAGATTGCTTGTTTGTTTGATTCTTATTGTTGTTGTTTTGATTTTTTAGTTCCTCTCTACTCCTGCCGGTTTAAGTAACTTGTCCATTCTGCAAGAAGGGGGAGGGAAGCAGACTGAAGGCTGTTTGTGTAGTATTCAGGATTGCCAGTTCCACTGCAATTTTAATATGTATTCCCCATTGTGAGCTTGCTTACTCTTCTTGGAATGTCTGCCTCCGATTTTTCCATTCTGTGAGAAGGGGAAAAAAGCAGGTCAGACATAGGTCAATGTGTGCTAAATATAATGTCAATCAAATAACTGAGCAACACTGTGAAAGTCATAAATGCAGACACTAGTCATAAATTTATTTTTTCAGCATTATTATAATTTTAAATGGTTGTTGAATGAGGCTGTCAGTAAGCAAGGTCTACTGTACTAGAATTAATTTACATTATAGTAGACTACTGAAGTACATTTTGGACAATTAATATTGCACTGAAGGCCAAATGTATCCCATGAAATAAATCTTCCATACGCAAAAATCAGCATCCAAACCATAATGACATGAAAAGAAAGAACAATAAGCATACAGTGACATTATCACACAAAATCACTCATTACATATTTATATTACAACATTGATTGTAAATGCATAGTTATAGTATTTGAATGATAATAATTGATAATATGATAATATTATCATTGAATGATAATATACCCATGTTATAAGTGGCCTTTGTTGTTACAAAACATACCTATCTACAAAGCCCTATTCCATCTCTATATCAAAATTTGATTTCTGATCTGTGGTCTTACAAGATCCATGTAACAAACTGTGCAATGTTACCTAATTTATTCTTTTATTTAATCCTTTGTTCATGTTCCTCTGCATAAATTAAAAATCCTGTAATTAATGAAATAGGTTCTTGCCTGTAGACTATGTTATGATGGCTGAACTGCATGGCTATTAGTTGCTTTTGTCTTACGTCATTTTTACTTGAAAAGATTAACCTAACTGATCAAACTTGATGAACCAGAAAATGAAGTTCAGCAGGTCTTATATTTGTGAGCATATCAAATCCAGTCAGGCACAAGAGACAAATGCTGATTCTTCATATCTTCTTGTCAAATATATGGTTGTGAAAATGTGCTTCTAAATGTGTTTCAGATCTTACAGAAGAGATAGAACAATGAAAACAAAGAAAAGGCTTTGGGAATTCATAAAAAGAGATTAAACTTGATTTATTACAGTCATTTACAAAATTGCCATAATTATTTTTATAAGTTGGTAATTTTAGTTTGGTCCTCTGCGGAACAAAATGAAAACTAAATTAACTTCACTGAAGTATACAGAGTCCAATCCTATCTCTAGAGTTCTTCTCTTTCTTTTCTATTGTATCTTTAAGATTATAATATAATATAACCTGTCTATTGAAATAGCAGAAAGGCTGTTTCAGAATTTGAAAAAGAAGGTAGGCAACCTACATCCCACAACCCCTGACATTTTTGCATTATTATATTAATTGGTGGGGAATGTTCCTCATAGACATCCCTATGACCACTATTTGAAAAAAATCATCAACATTTTTCCACTAAATTGAGGAAAACTGAATAGTGAACCATGATCCATGAATAACATTGTCTTAAAGAAAGTCACCAATCAGGTGAAAAAATAATGTCATGCAGCTCTATATGCACTAAGCTGTCACTTACCAGCACTTTTCGAGACTGAAAGTCTCCAAAGAAGAAGGATCTAGCTTCAGTATGTATTCAGAATAACAGAGCAAGAACAATTGGAATCAGAATTGTTTTCCAGCAACTAGACAAGGAATAAGGACTGTCAGTAACAAATTATAAGATGGCATGTCATCAGTAGCAATTTCTCACTCTTTTTTCAATTACTATATTGACCCATTTTTTCTTGTTTTTTTTTAAATGCAATAATATTTATATTTCCCCTTGATTTTGGTACTGTTTAAAAGAAGCAAATAGAAAGGATACATGTTATAAAAAGACAATATTATAAGTATAGTTGATGTTCATCCTAAATTATAATACATGCCTAGATGAAAATAAGTGGGCCACTTTTATTCTGTTGGAAAATGCATCTATAACATGATCTCACTTTCTTGTATGTTTAGGTATCGATAGTTCACCTTCTCAAGACTGTACGCTTACTGCGCCTTTTACGTCTACTGCAGAAATTGGATCGTTATTCCCAGCACAGTACAATTGTTCTAACATTGCTGATGTCTATGTTTGCATTGCTGGCTCACTGGATGGCTTGCATTTGGTATGTCATTGGAAAGAAGGAAATGGAAAAAAAACCACTGACCTGGGACATAGGTAAAGATGAGCTTTTTAACATTAAAATTGAAAAACTGCACTGTAAAGATTGCAAAATTATAGTTTTGCATAAGCACCTGCAGATGTTATTAGAGACATACTGTAGCCTCACTGATTTTCTGGAACAGTTAAGTAGGCCCTGTAATCATGCAACATTTCAGGCTTTCCAGTAAGAATAGAGATACTCAGATAAATATAACTAATATGCTCCTTCAGGCCTCTAAATAGGTACACTCTAAGTAGGAGGCAGAAATTACAGCCCTTTCCATCTATGCACTCTGCAGCAGTCTAAGGCAGCTTTGAATTGTATCTCCAATATTTTCTTCATTTTCAGGAAGTCCTGCTTCATCATATCTCTGGATTTCTGGTCCTAAGCAGGTCTATTGAGAAGAATAATATTTTGTTGATCCTCATTAATAGTATATTGAGGTTGGCAAAAATGAAGATAATCTGAGTAGAGTGCATTCAAAGTATTTGTAAGAACTGGCTTCAGGCTCAGTTGTGGAGTAGAAATAGCATTGGTTGCACTTATTGCTCTGGCAAGAGTGGAATAGGGATAATGAATCTGCCTTTGCTTTTCTTGATACTCAAACAACCTTGAATATCCTCGACCATGTAATCCTTTTTGACGAGCTGTGGGGCTTGGGGTTGGGTGGTCCAGTCTTCTGCTGATTTGGCTCTTTTCTCCATGGCCAGTCCTGATCAATATTTATAGGGAATGAGAGGTTCAATTCACTTCTTGGGGTATCCACAGACTTCAGTATTCTCCACTCTTTTTTAACACCTATATGAAACTGCAGAAATTAGGTGCCCAAACCAGCCATCTATTGAGCTGCCATGCTACCAGCTCCCACTACCACAAAGATTCTACAAGAAAAGGGCAATATGGGCAACCGTGGGATCTGGCAGGGTGAGAGCTGTGGACCATAAACACAAAGCTTTTGCTGTGTCCCTGCATAACAGATACAGTACCCTTGCTGAACTTAATAGGGACACTAAAATGACAGGTAAAGGTAGTTGTGATAATGATAACTCAAGTAAGTCGGGGATCATTGTTAGATCGGGTATGAAAGAGACGCGAGACCAGTGTACTTCAAGCTCTTTATTTCATGTATAGATCTGTACGAGATCTTGGAGCCGTGGCAGCCCTTCATATAGGGATTGCTTGCGGCTCACCGGCGAATGACAGGTCCTTGAATCTCCCGCAATTGGCTCGGCCAATCGCGGTTGATTCCTAGCGAACCAATCACTGCCGTTTAGTTGACCAATCATAATGTTGTACGTGTAGACCAATCAGAAGTCAGTATTTGGAGTATGTTAATACAGAACACCCCTCCCCTCTTGGTTCAGTCCTACAGAATGTAGTCCCGTAAATAGGCGGGGCTCCGTACTTGCCTACTTGACCTGCGCAGCTCAGTTGTTGTTTGGTCTTCGGCCGGTTCGGACGGATTCCTTTTTGCTCTCGTCCTCATCGATGGAACCGCCTGGAAGGGTGAGTCAGGCCTATCGCTGCAACTCCCACCCAGTCTACCTGGGTCGGTCAAGTTGTCGGCTCCGCTGTTCCCACCTGGTCTTTCCGGGCTGGTTGAGCTGGCTTGGCTGCTCCTTCCAGGCGAGGCTTCATGTTGTTTGTCCGCCAAGGGTTCCCTTCTACTGACGTTGTCTGCCGGTGAGTATTGTTGGTTTATTTTTGGTTGGGGGTGTTTGGGTTGTGTTTCGGTATTTTCTTCTTCTCTTTGATTACTGTTTGGGGTTTTCCCCCCCTCTGGTTTTTTTTATTAATGTCTGTTTGTGGTGTTTGTGTGCTGGCCGTGTTGTCGGTGGTTGTTCTCGACCTTAGTTGGTCAATGTGTTGTTTCCAGCTTCTTCCGTCATCTGTTTGTAGCTGGTATGACCGGGGGCCCATTACCTGGGTTATTTTTGCTGGTACCCAGAGCTGGTCCCATATGAAGTTTTTTGCATAGACTGTGTCTCCTGGGTTAAATATTCAGTATCTGCTAGACGAGTCTGGTAGTTTCTCGGGGTTGTATGTGGGGTGCAGTCTGTCTAGTTGGGATCGTAATTTTCTGCCCATCAGTAACTCTGCTGGGCTCTTATTCGTCGTTGTGCTGGGTGTTATGTGTTGTATCAGTAGCATTTTATTTATTTTGTCATGTATGTCCCTGGTTTCAATTTTTTCTATTGTGTTTTTTGTATAATGAACCATGTGTTCTGCCCGCCCATTCACCGCCGGATGAGCGGGCGCTGTCAATGCATGCCGTATGCCCCGTTCGGCCAGGAATTTCTCGAATGACAGTGCGGTAAATTGTGGCCCATTGTCTGACACTAGTACATCTGGTAGTCCATGGGTGGTAAACAGTTTGGTTAGTTCCTTGATAATGGCCTCCATGGTGGTGGATTTCATGACGCTAACCTCCAGCCAGTTTGAGTAAGCGTCGACCGTTATTAGGAACGTGTGTCCTTTTGTGGGTCCAGCAAAATTTATATGGACCCTAGACCACGGGCCTCTGGGGGTCCCCCATTCGGTGCGGAGGGAGGGTTTGGTCTGGATTCCTGGCATTTTCTGCATGATGCCACGCAAGTTTCAATCTGCTTGTCCATCCCTGGCCACCCACAACTCCTGGCCAGGGCTTTCATCTTGACTATGCCTGGGTGCCCCTCATGCAGCATGGCCAACACTCTTTTTTGTAATGTTTCAGGAACCACAAACCTGTCCCCCCATAGTATGCAGCCCTTCTGTGTGAATAGTTCGGTCTGCCGGTTTCGGAAGGTTTTAAATTGCTCGCCACCGTCGGTTTCCGGCCACCCTTTCTCCAGCCAATTCAAAACCCGCGCCAGTCGCTTGTCTTTATCAGTCTCTTTGACAATGTCTGGTGCGGTCAGGGGTGGGTTGGGTAATTGGAGCTGCGGCAGCCCTTCATATAGGGATTGCTTGCGGCTCTCCGGCCAATGACAGGTCCTTGAATCTCCCGCAATCGGCTCAGCCAATTGCGGTTGATTCCTAGCGAACTAATCACTGCCGTTTAGTTGACCAATCATAATGTTGTACGTGTGGACCAATCAGAAGTCAGTATTTGGAGTATGTTAATACAGAACAATCATGGTCCTAGAAGAAGAATTTACTTTGGAAAGGAGAAAGTGTGAATCAGGTATTACGCACCAGTCACACAAGAAGAGCAAGGCATTCAAAAAGAGAAGCCACCTTCTGGTTGGGGACTCAATTGTAAGCGATGTAAATTTAGGAAAGGATACTGAGGTTTTGAAAGAGGTCAGGTGTCTACCAGGTGCTACTGCCAGCAGAGACAAGAAGAGTATTCTTAAGATAGTCAAGAATGCCAGCAAGGACTGTGATGTTGATGCTATTATAGATCTTGGTACAAATTATCTATCCCAGAAGGATGTACTTTCTATTCAGAAAGACTTCCAGAACTTGGGATATGAACTTAGTAATATGGGCTGTAGGCTTATCTTTTCAGAGGTTCTAGCAGTATATAAGGAACAAAAAGGGAAAGGGCAGCATGTAGCAGAGTTTAATGTGTGGCTAAAGGAGTGGTGTAAAAGGGAAGCCTTTGGTTTTATTAGTCATGATGTCTGCAGCTGGTCCAATGAAAAACTGTGCAAAAGAGATGGTTTGCATCCATCAAAGAAGGGGACTGAGTTACTTGGCATTAAATTCACAGATTTCCTGGATAAACATTTAAACTGAACAGCGGGGACAGAGAATTAATGGATTCAGAACATTTCTGTCCCCAGCAACCTAAAACTAATAAAGATACCAGTGCATGCAAAATAGATGTTTGTGCAGGTAAGATTATCAACCTTGATGCCAACCCAAACCAAGCATTTAATAGTGAGTGCCATACCATGTGCACTAATCAAACAGGTGGCAAGAAAGTAGGGGCAGGCAGGCACAACACAGTTATGTAGACACAGTAAACGCAGTGTCTGACATAAAGATCTCAAGTGCCTATATACAAATGCACAAAGTCTGGGGAACAAACAGGGTGAACTCGAACTATGAATACATGAAGGTAAATATGATATAGCTGGAATAACAGAAACTTGGTGGGATGAAACCCATGACTGGAACATACTGGTAGAAGGATACAAACTATTTAAAAAAAAACAGATCCCATAAAAGAGGAGGTGGAGTTGCACTGTATGTAAAGGACCACTATATTGCTACAGAAATGCATGAAACCAAAGATGAAAACCTCCTAGAATGTATATAGGTCAACATAAAAGAAAAAAAGAATGACTTGGCCATAGCTGTATATTATAAGCCACCCAATCAAGCAGAAAATATAGATGTTCTTTTTGCCAGCTGTAGTGTATTTAAATAGAGACTTCTAGGGCAATGTTCCTATTGGTTAACAGAAGCAACAATACGATTGGTTAGTAACGTTAGTACCTGATTGGCTGCCAGTAGCAGTGGGAAGTTTAACTAAATGTCATTGGTTGCGAGCCATGGAGCAGCCGCTATAAAAAGGGCTGCTGCGGTTCGACTGCAGTTGAAGTTACTTGTTGTTATTAAAGAGCTGAATTCAACTCCGGTCTGCAAGTCTCTTTACTGGCGACAGAACACTGGCGACAAGGATGGGATTAAAGAGACAAAGACCGTAAGCACATGGCAACAACAGCCAAAGGACCAACTAGATGGCCGGCAACAATTCGCCACCCGCACCGTTCAACCCAGCCGAAGAAGACTGGGAGTTGTACATTGACAGATTCCTGATGTTTTTAGAAAGAAACGAGCTGCAAGGAATCAACCAACCAAAGGAAGAGAGCCGTATTCCTAATGCATTGAGGTCCGACTGTTTTTAAAATGGCCAAAGCATTAGCAAGGCCAAATGATGTTAAACAGATGACATGGCCAGACCTGAATCGGATGTTGAGGAACCATTACGCACCGGCCGTATCCAACCTAATTACAAGACACGAGTTTTACAAGCACGACCAACTAGAAGGTGAGAGCATTGGAGACTTCATAGCAGCATTAA